TGAGTTTAGTGGACCATCGACACCTACTTTGCAATAAAAGGAAAATGGTGTCTGAGAAGAAAGGATGTATCTCTGAGGACAACCAGAAGAAAAATGGAAGGGTTTCTGCAGAAAGAAAAGAAGTGAACAAGTGAGGCACACTGCCGGAGCTGCCCAAGGCATGGAGGGGCTTGCTGTCTGGGCTCAGCCAGGAGGGCAGCCCAAGCCCAGGGCAACTGGCATGGTTCGAGTACCTAGGGACCAAGGTAGCTGAGGCACTGCCCTCTAAAGCCCCCTAGTTCCTGAATTAAGAACTTCTCATTGTCTGTCCCAGAGCCTCTGCCAGGAGATTCCCCCAACAGTGCAAAGAAGGAATCTGACATCTTCCATGTCCCAAAGGAGTGACACCCATCCGTGTAACCAGCTGTGCTGGGTCTCCAATGATTTCTCATGGGGACATATATTATTCTTTCAATTAAGATACCCAGAAGCCCAAAGAAAAAGATTGACATCCTGAAGGGGTAGGAATGGGGGAGCCCTTCCCATGTGTCCCTCCAAGGACTGGCCTGAGCTATAAAGAAGCGACACCCTTATTACAAATATAAATACAAATAAACCAGCCTTAGGGGGGGCTTAGGCTATCAGGAGTCGTATTTTCATGCAAGAGATATATTCTCAAAACCGTGGTTGTTGCAAGACAAATCCCAGCTAAGTTTAATGTTTAAGAATCTGACGTTTTTCCACATTTTGTGCATCAAGTAGCATCGTGGACGTCTGCTGCCTTGTGGTATTTCAAAGCATAATCAAGATGACATCGAATGGGTAATGAAAAGATGGAGATCCAGTGGCACAGGATGACAGTGGCAGGGCAGGGACAGAGAGCACTGTGAGTTTAGATGCCATCCTCGACCACTGGCTGGTACTTCATGCCTTCAGCCAGGTCCTGCTCTCTGCACTCCAGTCCCAGGGACCCAGGTCTTTGTCCTACAGGATGACCACAGGCATTTCAGCCTCTGCATGCCCTTGTTTGACTCCTCCTCACCCTTCTAAGTCTTTTTCTTCCCCTTATCCACGGCAAGGCCATTCTTCCAGTTGCTCGGGCCAAAACCCTGGCGTGCACCTCCATAGCTCCTTTTCTCTCAGCATCTCCTGCTCCGCTCTCACTGTCTCTCATTGCCAGATGGTCCAGGGCCCTGCCCTCTCTCACCTGGCTCACTACCCCACTTCCTGACTCTCCTTCCTGTTCCAGCCTTTGTCCCCTTAGAGTCTATTCTCAACAGAGGAATCAGAGAGATCCTGTTTAAGCAAAAGTCAGGGCCGGGCATGGTGGCTCACGCCTGTAATCCCATCACCGTAGGAGGCTGAGGTGGGAGGATTGCTTGAGCCCAGGAGTTTGAGACTGGCCTGGGCAACATAGCAAGACCTTGTCTCTACCAAAAAAAAGGAAAAAAAGAAAGAAAGAAAATTAGCAGCCATGGTGGCATGCATCTGTAGTTTCAGCGACTGGGGTGCTGAGGTGCAGGGATCCCTTGAACCCAGGAAGCTGAGGCTACGGTGAGCCATGATCATGCCACTACACTCCAGTATGAGCAACAGTGAGACACTGACTCAAAAGAAAAAAAAAGTCAGATCATCTTATCCCAGCTCAAACCCTCAGTGGTTTTGTTTCTCACTCAGAGTAGGCGTCAAATCCCTACAAGGGCACTGAGGCCTTAGGCGACCCTCATCTCCCAAACCAATCCCCTCTCCAACCCCATCTCCTCCCTCGCTCCCCTTCCTGATCCTCCTCTGGCTTCCCTGGCCTTCCTCTCACCTCAGTGCCTTTGCACTGGCTTCTCCCTCTGCTGGAATGCTTGACCCCACAGATCCATGGAGTTCTCTCCTTTTCCTCCTTCTGGGATTGGTTTAAAGGTCATTTCTCAGGGAGGCCTTTCCCACCCATTCTACTGAAAACTACAGCCTCTCTTCTTCCTGCACCAAACTTCCTATTCCCCTTCTGTAGCACCTCCTTTTTTTTCAATACTATTTTTTTCTCCCAATAGACCATATAGCTTACTTACTTAAAATAAAATATGCCCCCATTCTGAAATGGAAGCCCCACGGGGGTAATGATTTTTATCTGTCTTCACTGCTTTATTCTCCACACACAGAACAGTGCTGACAGTCCCTCAGTCCCTCAGAGATCACTGTCAAGTGAGTGACTTGAGTCACATAGGTGACTTGTACCAGCTCTGACAACAGAAAGGTCCATTACAATATATGTATGACTCAGGAATCATCAAAAAATAGTGTAATTTTTAATAGGAGTGACTGTCAAAAAAACCAGCAACACTCAGACCACCAATAATTACCCGAGTGATAATAATTCACAAAGTAATATAATGGCAGACCTAAAAGGAGCTCCTATTCAATAATAATTTTTAAATGTAATAACAACAATAATAGTAATAGCAATATGCATTATTAGCAAGGGTACAGCAAGAAGATGGCACTCTCAAGACACACTAGTATGAAAATAACTGCTGCGAGTTTTCTAGAAAATTCGTTGACCTTGAAAAATGTTGGGATGTGCTTTACTCCCACAATCATACTTCAAATGACCTATCTAAATAAAACAAAATGAATGAAGATAAATAATTATATACAAAGATGCAAATCCAAAAATTAGCCAGACATAGTGGCACACACCCATAATCCCAGCTATTGAGGGGCTGGGGTAGGAGGATCACCTGAGACTAGGAGGTCAAGGTTATGGTGAGCTATGATCATGCCACTGCACTCCAGCCTGGGCCACAAAGCAAGACCCCATCTCAAAAAAAATGCAAATTACCAACAGACCATGGAACCCACTTCCTAGTAGTTGGAGCCTCATTAAGTAAATTCTTTTATTATTCCCCACAGTCACCCAATCTTCCCAGTTCCTCAAAGAGGCTGTCCTGGAGGACCTCTGTCCCATCCATAGTACTCTTCTGGTGGCAATTCCTCAAACCACTAGGTTCTATGCTTTTGTAATATTTATCAAGTGTATAAGTATATATTTATTGTCGGGCTTATTTTTTGTGTCATTCCATCCATTAGACTGTAAGCTGCATGAAGGCAGGCATGCTCTGAGTTTTGTTCATGGTATAGTCCTCCACCTACAACTTCTGGCACATCCAGAATTTTTTTTTTTTTTTTGAGTTGGAGTCTCACTCTGTCACCCAAACTGGAGTGCAGTGGCCGCTCCCGGTCACCACAGCCTCGACCTACTGGGCTCCGGTGATCCTTCCACCTCAGCCTTCCAAGAATTACAGGCATGCGCTACCACGCCCGGCTGATTTTTTTATTTATTGTAGAGATGAGGTCTCGCTGCCCAGGCGGGTCTCGAACCCGCGGGCTCAGGCAATCTACTCACCTCAGCCTCCCAAAGGCGCGGGATTACAGGCTGAGCCACCGAGCCCGGCTCAGAATTTTTTTTTAATTGGAATCTCACTTTGTTGTCCAGGTTGGAGTGCAGTGGCACACTCACAGCCACCCAGCATTGACCTGCTGTGCGATCCCTCCACCTCACCCTTCCAAGCAGACAGAACTACAGGTGCGTGCTACCACACATGGCTAATTTTTTACTTTTCATAGAGATGACGTCTCGCCAAGTTGCCATGGTTGGTCTCGAACCTGTGGGCTCAGGCAATCCACTCTCCTCGGCCTCTCAAATTGCTGGGATTACAGGCTGAACCACCATGCACGGCCATCATCTAAAATTTATCACATAAATGAACACATGAACAAAACAAAATATTTTATGCTCCACTAAAATATTTCTGAAACTTGTTTTTTTTTTTTTTTGAGTTGGCGTCTCACTCTGTCGCCCAGACTGGAGTGCAGTGGCCATTCCCAGCCACCACAGCCTCGACCTGCTGGGCTCCGGCAATCCTTCTGCCTCAGCCTTCCAAGTAGCCGGAATTACAGGCATGCGCTACCACGCCTGGCTGATTTTTTGATTTATTGTAGAGATGAGGTCTCGCTGCCCAGGCGGGTCTCGAACCCACGGGCTCAGGCAATCCACTCACCTCAGCCTCCCAAAGGTGCGGGATTATAGGCTGAGCCACCGAGCCTGGCTCTGAAACATTTTAAATGGCCACCATGTGATATTAGTGGGAAAAAAACAAAATTTACATTCAGGGTTATTTCAACAGCTATTAGAAGATGCATAGAAAAATTACATTGGCAGAAAATATTCCATAATATCAACACTATTTGGGTGCAAAAATATAAATGCTATTAATTCTTCATATTTGTCCATATGCCAATTTCTTTTTGCAATGGCATGTATCGCTTCTATAGTAAAATAATATGTAAATCCCGGAAGAAACCACAGGAGCAAAAGAAAGGAGAAAAGAGAGCAAAGAAGTGCTGAGAACATCAGAGATGACACTGACCATGGCTGCAGAACCAGGCAGGGGACTGGAAAAGACGGCAGTGTCCCTCAGTATGCCATTGTGTTATGTTCTAGACTCATGAGCAGATGAAAAGAATGATGTGGCCAGTGCCAGACTACAGAAAGATCTCTCCATCCAAGCACAGCCCAAGGACTGATCCGGTCCCCCACTTTTGTAAACAAAGTTGTATTAGGACATGGTGGCCACACCCACTCATTCAGGATTGCCTGTAGTTGCTTTGATACTACAAAGGAAGAGTTAAGTAGTTATGACATCAACCTATAAACCCGAAACTAAATAATGCCTGGCCCTTGAGAGAAACAGACTTCTGAGCCCTGGCCTACAGGAAGTTTTACAGAAGGAAGAAACTAGGAGAAGTCGGGCGGTGATGACAAGTATCACCATTTTAAAGGTGCCACAGAGGATGACAGTTGCATATGACATGTGCTTTCACAATGTCTATATTTACAGTTAGGTAGAAGTGCAGATGAAGCCTCCTCTTCAAGAATGGGAGGCATTCAAATTTTAGACAGTTTCCACCCATTTATAGGATTACTGGCTAAATATGCAACAGAAAAGGTCAGCGATTGTTAGATGAGTTACCTGAAGGATCAGAACTGCAGAGGCTGGCAGCAGTTGTGATGGGCCCTGGGGGGTGGATGGCACTCGTGGAAGACCTCTGACTCGCGATCAGAATCCTGCTCTTTGCAGATGGCAAGCGGGACATTGCACCCAATCCCAACTGGGGTTTAAGGACCATGGCCGAGCGGTAGAAAGTCGGAGGGACTTCGTAATGAGCGTAGGGAGGAGAACAAAACTCTTCTTTTCCAGGGTGGTCTGTCACCTGTGATAAATGACCAGAAGCTCAATCAGAGAAGTTCTAAGCAGCATTCAGGAGACCAAGACTGGAACCATGACCACTCTGGTACCATTGAGTTGTTTGACCACAGCTCACTTACCTTCCCTGAGCCCTAGGATCTGCATCTCCTAATTGACAACACACCTGGGTGATCTTCAGGTCTCTTCTGGTTCTCATACTTTATGAACCTACATTTCACTGGGAGTAAAAAAGAACTCACTCTATGAGATTTTGTAAACTGCATTGTTATAAAATCATTAGAATGTGAATGAGTAACAGATCTATGAGGTCTGACAATGAGGTTCACAAACCATTCCAGAAAAAGTGCTCCATACCTCAGTGCTGAATATTTGCCTTCAAAGTGCTCCTCTTAGAAAGATATGCACCGACACCACTGACTAGTCCACCCATCAAAGCAGTTTTTGAACCCTTTTTCTGGAATGGCCATCAGAGCTATTGTCATTATTTGCTGAGGTCTGACAATTAAGTTCACAAACTCACCACTGTGCGCTTACATCGGCAGCACTGTATAAATAACTATTGCAACACCTTCTCTACTCACCTGATCTGGCCCCCCAATTACTTTTTTCTCCCCCCTTGTTTTGCTGCCCTCCCTCCTCTCCCCCTTCCCTCCCTCTCTGACTTTTTTCTTTACCTGAATATAATGGAAATATTGAAAGGAAGACATCAAGGGTAAAATGAGGATGATTCTGATGGCCATTCCGGAGAAAGAGTTCCAAAATTGCTTTGACGGGTAGACTAGGCACAGGTATCCATGCATAGCTTCCCAAGGGGAGTACTTCAAAGGTGACCATAGTGATATTCAGCAATAAGAAATATAGCACTTTTTCTAGAATGAGTTCATGAACTTAATTGTTGGACCTTATTTAAATAATGTCAGTAGAGCAAATAATTTATCAAACGTTCTTAAAATTATAAAAGTTTCATTATAAGAAGAAAAGGCATAATTTTATGGTAACTTAATCTTAGGATAAGTAGATGAAGTTTATCAATTTATTTTAACTCTTTGCTAGGCTACTTAGGAAATAAAATTTTCCTACTTAGGAAGGGACCATTTGGAAAAATAGGGAAGTTAATGGAAAATGTGTGTTCAGGCTTCTACTGTCTGTTAACATCATTAAAAGTCAGAGAGCCTGAAATACCCCCTCTGCTTGTCTTCTCTAGTGAGGTGATGCTCTCAGGAATACTTGAACAAGTTTCACCTCAATGGAAGCTCTGGAACAGAGTCTTCGTCAGCAGCTGACTTCAGAGCACCTAGAACAGAATCTAGCACTTAGCAGAAGCCAACAAAGAAAGGAATCAAGGCTGGGCACGATAGCTCATGACTATAATCCCAGCACTTTGAGAGACCGAGATGAGAGGATTGCCTGAGCCCACAGGTTTGAGACCAGCCTGGGCACCTTGGTGAGACCTCATCTCTAAAAAAAAAAAAAAGAAAGGAATCAGGTTTGCATTCTTTCCTAAATTTGATATCACAGCATGAATGTTACTTTCTCCTGTAGCTAACAGTTTGAAGTAGACTACAACTTGTGGATATCTTTTGTATATGCAATTCAATCCTCACAAAATCTGTTCCTATTTTCAGTATTTCTTCACATTAAACATGAAAATAAGAGGAAGAACTGAATAATCCATTTGCTTTACATTATAATTTTTAAAAAATAGTGCTAGGGGCTATGTATGAAAAGATACATCTGTTAATTAACTCTGTTCTAAATCACAACACATTTTATGTGTCAAACTTAGATGTCTTCAGGAATCACAAGCATTTAACAATATTCTTTAATAGGGGCTATAAAAGCTTTGATCCAAGCTGCTGAAGAGATAAACCCTTAAGTTAATAATACTCTTTTAATGTTGAAATAGATACAAAGTTCTCCTTCAAACTGACACTATAGAAACAAAAGATTAGGCCTTTAAAGTTTTATCATAATCACGTTGTGAAATATGCATGATTGTTATAGTAGATAGACTGGATTCAGGCTACAGCAAATTATATTCCTGCAAAAGAACATTCTACATCTGCTCTCTGATAAAATTTTTACCATTCTCTACTTACTCTCACTATCAATCTCTGGTTTTCCCTCTTATACTCATATGCCTTGTATTTTTTTTTTTTTTTTAGTTGGAGTCTCACTCCATTGCCCAAGTTGAAGTGCAGTGGCACACTCACGGCCACCCCAGCGTCGACCTGCTGGGCTCTGGCAATCCTTCCGCCTCAGCCTTCCAAGTAGCTGAGACTACAGGTGCATACTACCATGCCTGGCTAATTTTTTTTTTTTTTTATTGTAGAGATGAAGTCTTACCAAGTTACCCAGGCTAGTCTCGAACCCACGGGTTCAGGCAATCCACTCGCCTCCGCCTCGCAGAGTACTGGGATTACAGACTGAGCCACCAAGCCTGGCCTATTTTTTTTTTTAATGTTAATTTCTAAATCTGGGTTTTTGCTCACTGCTTTGAGCAGGTGCTTTTCATGAAGAAATTAATATTATTTTCAACTTACATCTGTCAGGGATGGCAATGTGCTGATCTCAGTGATGATTCAGTTCTTTGGAACTGGGTAGTTTTTAGGGGTTAAAAATCCACCGTGCTTTCACTTACAATGATCTTAAGAATTTCAATAACTTCAATGCCTATCACCTTGTTGGGTAATTTGTTCCTGGTAAGATCACAGATTGTTTAAAAGGGTAAAAACTATGTCTCAGATGCCATGCTTGTGCAATTTTAATTCAACCAGAGAAACTACAAAAGGCATCACACTCTCTTCCTTCATCTTCGCTGACAGAACATGACAGGTAACAGTGACAGTCATAAACACACAGAGATCAACCCCAAGTGTTTCTGTTTCCTCCCCTCCTTCGTGGACGGAGTCTTCTTAGAGAAACACACTTGAAAGCAAACACAAGAATCCTGTCATTTAAAACTCCCTGAAGTCAAGACACACATACAAATCAATTACTACCAGGCTGTCCCTCTTCCTGTTTGCCCTGTCCTGTGTGTACTGGAATTGTGTGCTGGGGAGACAGAGGATAAAGGTGGATGCTTCACTAAGAAGCCACTGGGATGGTTGCAGGGGACAGCGTTCCTGGGATCATTAATTTTATGTGTCAACTTGGCTCATTGTTCTACGTGCTGCTGTAAAGGTATTTTTGATGAAATTAACATTTAAATCAGCAGACCTTGAATAAACAGATGGCCAATCATACATAGGTGGGCCTCATCTAATTAGCTGAAGGCCTTAATTGAAAACAGGCTTGACTTCTGAAGAAGAGGAAATTCTGCCAGCAGACAGCCTTTGGACTCAAAGTGCAGCACGGACTCTTCCCTGGGTCTCCAGGCTACTGGCCTGTACTGCCCTGCAGATTTTTAACTTGCCAGAGGTCTGCACAATCACATGAGCCAATTTCTTAAAGTAAATATTTCTCTTTTGCTCTTTCTTTCTTTCTTTCTTTTCTCTCTCTCTCTCTCTCTCTCTCTCTCTCTCTCTCTCTCTGTATACATACACACACAAACACATATATGAGTTCTAGGGCAGAGTCTTGCCAACTTCATAGCACCTAAAACCAGGTCGGGCACTTAGCTGAAGTCAATAAATATCAAAGGAAGGAATTGGGTTTCCATTCTTTCCTAAATTTAGTATCAGACATTACAGTTACTTTCTCCTGAAGTTAACAGTTTGGACTAGAATACGACACGTGGGTATCTTTTACATATGCAGTTCTTACTCAGAGATGCACAGATATATATACAGAGGGTACCAAAAAAAAAATCTATATGCATTTTAAGAATGGGAAAAAACTGTATTAAAATTGTAATATTCAATAACATGAATACAAGTCACATTTGACTTCTGCAATTACAAGAGGTGCTCAAAGTGGTTACCATCAGTGCCCAGAGACTTCAGATTATGGTGAACATCTCTTAGTAGCTCTTAAATGTATATACATTTATTTTTTATTTTTTTGGCACTCCTGGTATATGGAGAGACAGAGATGGAGAGGGAGAGGGAGAAGGAGGGAGGGAAGAAAGTAGAGAGGAAATGGAGGGGAGAAGAAGGGAGAGAGAGGGGGAAGAGAGGGGAGAATGTGCATTAATACCCAGATATTCTCGCACGCACACAAGTACATCTATCTCCTCTTGGTCCCGTTTCTCAGGAGAGCCCTGAATGGGGTAGCACCCCTCAGAGACGAGGTGATCTCAGGGTGCGGGGAGGGACAGCAGCCCTGAACCAGACATCTGCATACCACGAACACAGTCCCTCAGCCTGTCCTTTCAACCCTGCTCTCTTCCCCTTATCTCCTTCACCAGAAATGAACAGGGCTCCCAAGTTGACAGTGGGAGGCCGGGAGGGAGCATACCCCCAGGACCTCAGGAGACAGCATTCAAAACAAGCGAGCACTGTTGATCACCATGGCATTGCTAGGTCCTTGATGAGCTTAGCATCCTTCTTTTAACATTTCAGTCCATTCAACCAAGCCAGAGTCCAATTCTGAACGCAATCACTCTGCCTCTAGAAAGCCTTGGTTTTGTTTGGTTCCAATTCATACGGAGCTCGTGATTCAGCGTTCATTCAACATGTTTGAGCACCCATTTATGATAAGTCGCATTCTAAACTCTGAGAATGCAGTAGGGAACCCCCCCAAAATGGAAAAGGATCCTTCCTATCATTTAGTCAGTGCAGGAAAACTAATATACATAGTTTATTTATTTCAGGTGAAAGTAAATACTAGAAAGAAAGAAACCAAAGAAAGGGGACTCGGAGGGAAGATGGGAAGACTTCCCAATGAGATGACGCCTGAGTACACACCTAAAGAAAGTGAGGGAGACAGCCATTCAGATGACTGAGAGAAGAACATTCCAAGCAGAGGAAGGTGCAAAGGTCCTGTAGCAGCAGCAGGAGAGAGGAAGAGGAGGGTGGGTAGGTGATGGAGCCACGCTGAGCATATCCTAAAGGCTAAGCCATCCTACAGGCTCTATTTTATGCTCCCAGCGACCTGGGCAGCCCCAGGGAGCATTAGGGAAGGGATGATCTGATCCATCTTCCTCTGAACTGATCACCCTGGCTGCCATCAGGAGATGGCTTCAACAACTCTTACTTTTGAGGTCTCAGAGGAAGAATCACCATTGAACCCAGGTACTAAAAGGGACAGCACAGGCCTGAGTGGGAATCTCAGTGCTAGCTTTGTTTTGTAGCCTTAGGTGGGTGACTTAAAGCTCTCCGTATCTGATTTTTTATTCACACAGGGATAAAAACTGTAACACCAGCCTTCAGAGAATAACTGTCAAGATTGTGAAGGCTGACAAAGATTAAATGCTGCATTATATGGGCCCAATGTACAGTAGGCACACAACTAAGTGTTAGTTATAATTATTATTTTTACTTTAAAGAAAAAGTCTGGGCGTGGTGGCTCACACCTATAATCCCAGCACTTTGGGAGACTAAGGTGGGAGGATTGTTTGAGCCCAGGAGTTCAAGACCAGCCTGGACAACATAGCAAGACCTCGTCTCTACACAAAGTAAAAAAATTAGCCGGGCATGGTGGCACATGCCAGCTGCTCAGGAGGCTGAGGCAGGAGGGTCACCAGAGTCCAGGAGGTCGAGGTTGATGTGATCTGTGATCATGCCACTGTACTCTAACTGGGGCGACAGAGTGAGATCCCAACTAAAATATAAATGAATAAATGCAGACAAAGAATCCATGGCTAACACACGATTTTGTGCTCACTCATGTGTTCTTCACTTGTATGAATATGAGATTCTTCCGGAAAGGAAATACTTTCCATCAAAGGATGAGTCTGATCAATTTGAATAATATCCTCATGTTCCATTCTTTCTTCCTTTGACCTGGGTTATGGAAGAATTATGCTCATTTATTTCAACATGGAAGCCTGTTTAAATGCATACTTATCTAATTTCATATGTATTTAGTAAGTAAAATTCAAATGGATCTCTTTAGATATTGGGTCCATCACATTAAGACCATCAAACACTTCGAGTCAAAAATGGCCAATTCTCTAAACGATCTCCTCTAACAAAAATACCATTTTTCTACCAGTATATCCATGAAAATCTGCAATTTGCTTAGAGAGGACAATTTGCTTTCAAAACACAATGGAAGTATAGAACAGACTTCAGGACACACAAAGCACGAATGATGTCACAATAACATTCTCTTACCTCCTGCAAAAACTTTTCGCTCATTTGACTGAAATGATGTCCCGGGGGCTTGATCCCTGACACCATCAATCCAGAACTGAAGACTCTTGGCTTCTGCAAGTCTGGCTTGAATTTCTCGTAGAGGTTGGCCGATGACTTCGGGTCACCACTTGCTGCCTTCTCCTCCTGGGGGAGGGGCATGCCGCACGTGGGTGGGGCATATGGAAGTCCCATGGGAACCAGTGAAGCGTCCACCTGGCCCAGGGCCTGTGGACTTCTCCTGATGTAGGTGATGATCTTGGGTCTCACATGCTTGGGTTTGGGCATGATGATGGGCTTGGTTTCTGTCCTTTCTTCTGCTTTTTCAACCTGGTGCTTCTCTATTCCCTCCTGTGAGGAAGGCGTGTCCTTGGGGTGTGTGAAGAGAGGCTTGGGGATCCCACTGGGGCAGGTGTTCTTGTCAGGCACTTTCGGGGACATGTTCGACAACGGTGCGCTGTCTCTCGGGGGTGGAACCACCGAGGGTGACTCTGCATCCACACTGAACACTCTAACGTCCTGAAAACTGCTACTGGGTGTTGCAGGCTGGTGGGACATGTTCACAGCTGTCTCTGGGTGGAGGAGTGCTGGGACACTGAGGACCAAATCTGCTCTGGCTGAGGTGCTTTCCGTCTTAGCTGCATTCTCCAGACGGTTCCTGTTTTCAGCAAGAGGTGCAGTGATCTCTTGGCTTTCTCTTGCTTCTGAGTTGCTGCTCTGAGGGTCCAGGGGGACCTCCATCTTGCTCTCTCCGGTGGAAGGCTCTGATGCCAAAGCCATAGCACTGCCCTTGTTCTCACTGCTCAGACTCATTTTCTCCTCACTGACATCCGAGGACCTATCATCAGTTGGGTTGTCAGGAACAGAAGCCACGTGACTGTCCCCTGGTGAAAAGCTACTAGGTGTCATGTCACCAAACTTCCTGGCTGGGCATGGGGAAATTTTACCAGTAGACTGATTATCAGCTGCTCCCAAAGAAACAGGGCCCTGTTTGGGGGCAGTTGGGAGAGAATCCTCTTCCCTTAGGTGGACTCCTCTGTTTTCCCCCTCGCTGCTTCTTCTTCCCACCCCAAGATGGCGGAGGCCATTGTTTGATGGACGATCAACTGCAATGGTGGCCTCTTGACGCACCTCCCCACCTGGCTCCTTTCTCTCTAGGGGTGGCAGACTTCCTTCCTTATGGCAACCCAGAGCCCCCACCTGGGGCGATCTCACCTCCTGCACAGCCTTGGGGTGAACATATTTCAGCTCCAGCTTGGGCTCCCCCTTTCCCTGACCTAATTGTGCTTCTGGCTTACTCAGGATTTCCTTCAATGCCAAAAATGAATTCAGAGCAGACTCTGGAAGGGCAGAACGTGATGGGGGCTGGCTGCAGACACTCAGCCCACGTCCTCCCTCCATCTGGGTCTCTGAGGGATGGGTCTCCTTGGTTTCTGAGGTAGATGGTTTAGGATGACGCATACTCTT